CATATACGGAACACCCCACAGATATTTATGCTTTATGTGTTGATGAAAAATTAAATAAAAATGAAGGCAGATGAGATTTATAAGTTACTTACAAAAATGAATTCAAAGTATATCATAAAAGAAAACTTAAAAATAAAATCCCAAATCTAATCCCGAAATAATTTTTATTCTCTTGAGAAAGGAAAAATGTCTTTGCCACAAACCATCCAATAAAAAAGATTTAACAGCGATTATATGAACATTTAAAATGTTTGTAATGTAAGTATACTGGGTTAAAAGGAAAAATGTATACACATACTATGAAAAATCTTCCCAAGACTCTCAATATCAACAAGACTTAAACAGAAAGTTTGTGCAAGGAGAAATGCTGAAGGAAAAAGAGCCCCATGAAGATTCACCATACATCACAGAGCACAGGATGCATGAGAGAACTAAGAACCTCAAAGCCTGTTCATAAGGAAGACCATGACTATACCTCTGAAAACACTCTCCTCTTGAGGATATTTCTTAGAGCTTCTTTTATATCCTGATTCCTCAGACTATAGATAAAAGGATTCAGTATGGGTGTGACCAGAGTGTGCAACACAGCCACAATGACATCCTTCTCATTACTGTGATTGGAAGAGGGGAAAAGATGTAACCCAATAATGGCCCCATAGTAAAGAGAAACTACACAGAGGTGAGAGCCACATGTTGACAAGGCTTTGCAGAATCCCTTCATGGAGGGGGTTTTCAGGACAGTAGCCCCAATGTGGCCATAGGAGACCAGAATGTACATGCATGGAACAGTAATGACCACCACCCCTACAGTGAGGATAACCAGCTCATTGATAGTGGTGTCTGAGCTGGACAGCTTCAGTAAGACAGAGGTGACAGAAGAAGTGATGGAGAATGTTGTCTTTAAAGAGAGAGAGAGACGAGAAAAGAGAAGGGTGTGCATAAGGGCATTGGCACAGGACAAGGCCCAGGACATAATTACCAGCAGGAAACAGAAATTCTGATTCATGATTTGGTTATACTGCAGAAGGTGACAGATGGCCACATACCTGTCATAGGCCATTAATGTGAGAAGAAAGCTGTCAAGATCCACAAAGACAATGAAAAAATATACCTGGGAAACACACTCAACATATGAGATGGATTGACTTTGTGTAAGCGTATTCATGAGCATCTTGGGTACAGTGACAGATAATGAGATGTCAGAGAAGGCCAAATGGCTAAGGAAAAAGTTCATGGGGGTGTGGAGGCGAGAGTACAGCCTGATGAGCAGGATGATGAGCAGGTTCCCCAGCATCATGGTCAGGTACATGGCCCCAAACAGGGTATAGTACATGCCTTGGTTCTCTGAACGGATTGGGAGCCCCAGGAGGATGAACTCAGACACACTGCTCTGGTTGTCCCTCCTCATGCTCTTCTTCTCTTGAAGAAGATCAAGGAGATGGAAATGTGGAAGAAAGAGGTTTCTATCACATGATAGAAACATTTTCTCAATCACCAACACTAAAAGAAGCATAATTTTGAACCAAATATTATGTTAATTCTGACATTTATACTAAAGCTTTTGCAGCACTAATTGGATGGTGATGGTTTAGAAAATGTAATTTACCCACCTACATACTGCTGAACAACTTTAGAGGGAAAAATGAAACATTAAAATCACTGTTGGAAGCAGGCCAAGTTCCATATTATGATGTGCTAAATTTCATGATGCCAATTTGAGAATGGGAATTATTGTACATGAACTAATTGGTATCCATTTAATAGAAAATCTAACAGATGATCTCAGACCATTGTCCTCTCTTAACCTTTATGGTGCATCTTAAATGCCCTTTGGCTGTTTTATTTCCATGGATTAAATCCAGATAAGAGCCCAGTGGCTTCTTTGAACCTGGGAGATATTTGGATCTATGGAATTTGTGGAATTATCATATTCAGCAAGCAAAGCACAGGAATTAAGGCCATTTATCCATGCCAAGAATAAATAATATCCAATGACACCCCTTCAATACATCCACCAGTTCTTCCTCTAATAAAATTGTTCTTCACTCATTTTCACTCTTTCATTACTATTTGTGAAGCCTGGATAAAATGGCTGTCTAGATTCTACATGAACACCCTGAACGCAAATGAAGATTCTGATTCAAGCACATAGAAAACCAGGATATATTTGACTTTTCTAGCCATATCTTAGATCTGCCCAAAAAGTTCCTTGTGTTTCTCTTGCAAAATAAATTGTGTTCTCTGCCTTTTCCTTATGAACCTAAGGTTTTATGCCAAATATGTTTATGCATTTCTGGCATGTCTTCTATTTTACTAACCTGTCATTTCTCTCTTTTCTCCTATTATAAAGATACCTATCCATGTAAACAATGACAGAACAAGAGGAAAACAGAGCACTGTGAAATTAGAATCTGTACTCTTTCAAGACTTGTTAAAATGGGAGGACTTCCCTATATGCGTGTGGGAGACAAATTTCACTGTTTGTCTCATTTCCCATGAAGAGGGTTAAGTAAAGTTTACAATAATGTATCAGTTCCCCCAACTTGACAGAAATGACCTTGAAAATGTCTACATTTTTATCTCACTATGTTAAAATTCATTTAATGTCGTATTAAGTGAGATTGCTTAGAATTCACTTCTCACTTCCATGTTAGTTCCTCATAGTGAAAATGGTAATTACCTATCAGTGCACATTCAGAATTTTTCTGTCATTTTAATATTTTGAGCAATATTGTAATAAGAAATATTGTTTTTTCCATTTTACATACTATATGTGATAAATTCAGAACTGGATTAAAAGGAATATTCATCCATGGTTTGGAGAAAATAGCAGGTCACAAGAAGTTAAGGTGATCAAGCCAATCTTTGTGTTCTATAAAAGGAGTCCTTCGTGGAGGAACTTAGACAGGGAACTTAAGTCCTCCTGGGAACTTAAGTCAATGGGCACTTGACTTAAGTGTTTGGAGAGGATGGCTAGAGCTTTAGAGGAACAAAATAAAGTTAAAACAATAGGGAATCATGGAAATACATAGGTTGGCGAATATTTGTAGACCAAGAGTATAATGTCTTATTCATCCTAATAGAAATTTTCACTATGTTATATATAACAATAACATACCTAAGAAAATGCATAACTGGCTGAAAATATCAAAAGACTTTCTGGCTACCAGGTAAAGTGCAGACTACAGCAAAGGAAGAGGTCCAGCAGGACTCTGAATGCAAAAAGTTACTGCAGTACTCAGGATGGAAAATGATGTCTGAATATACCTGGATTCTGGCAGAAAAGTACAAAGATTGGAAAAAAAATCAAAGAAAACATAAGACCTAACTGAAGCTAAATGTAAACAAAGAACATGGTTTTTCCTGTTTTCTCTCAAAGATTGGTCATAGACTCATGTTGAAAAATGTTATTCTGTGTGGTGATTTCTTTGTCCTATTAGCTCAAATGTGCACACAATTCACAATGCAAGGTGAATCACTCTACCAGGACCTGTTTGTCATCTGATGACACCATCCTAGTGATTAGAAACACATTCTGAGCACAAACACATACACAGGTTCCTAAACTCTGGCAGTCATATTGATGGATGCAAATTCTATGTCTTCTCTGACAGGGCCCCTCAGACAATGAGCACAGATACCTTTAGCTGCAAAGCACAGGAAAGTTCATCCATTTCTCTCTTGAAGACACAGAATAGAGTAAAACAGCTAAACTATCTGAAGGGTTCAAGTTTCCATTGCAACAAACAGAAGAGCAATAACTTCAGAATTATTTTACATATATATGTATATGTGTATATATATTCACATCCTCTGAGAAATGGGAGCTTCAATTTTTAAAATCATGTGTGTTTGTGTGTATGTGTGTGTGCGTGTGTGCTTGTGAAATCCCACATCCGCACTTACAGATAAGAGACAATATAAAATTGCTTCATTGTCATTGACTCCTTTAGGGAAGAACTGTTGTGAAGCAGGCAGGAGGGTTCACCCTTGGAGGAATAGCAATGATAACCACACAGCAGACATCAGGAACCCAGTGGTTCACACATTTCTTGCTTTCTCTTTATACAGGAAAAATATAATTCTGTGCATTATAAATGGAACTAAAGGCTTAATGTGATAACCAAAGTCTCTTCATTCTGAATTCCAAATTACTTGAAAAGCACCAAGACACTTTCATACTTTTAATCATTGAACAAAAATGAGAAAATTCATATCATCACATCATCATTGGAAATGGAATGCAGTTTCTGTACATCTCAGGCTCTTACCCAAACCTATGCCATCAGCATTGTATTGCTGCAAGCTTCCCATGAAACCATGGGATAACATTTCCCCTTGACAACTTATGGAATTGATCTGAAATCATTCCTCACGTCTTCATCGCCAGTGTTTCTATTCCAGGTAGAAAATGAGTGTTGTTTGCCAATGTTTTCAATATGAGGATATGTGAAGGTATATAAATACTGTTCATTGGTTCTGCTTATGCAAAATTCAGCCTGTATTTGGACCTTCTGTTTGAGTTAAGAAGTCCTGTAATGTATTTGACTTCAAAAATGCTTTCTGTATCCCAAATATCATGGTTGTTCATTAGATACCCTCCTGATACCATGACAAATGACTCACTAATGAAGCTTCTTTCTTCTCAAACCATAAGAACAGGTATGGCATGGTATGGGATACTGGCCCCTTGAATTGTCAGTCAGAGGTGCTTAGTGACCCCTGAAAAAATACAGACTATTACCATTGCTCTTGGTTGCAGACCAAAACCTGATTTTAAGTTCCTGTTACTGAAGACAGCATACAGTTTAGCCAAAAGACTTGGGGGAATCCAATTGATACTGACCAGGAAGCTTTCTCCCTCCTGGATAGCTTTTATAGTACCAGAATGCACTATGCTGGTTTCTGAGGGCTAGGGGAGAGTGGTCATCAACAGTCTTAGTTGAGGCACCATCACAACCAGCAAGACAAGATATGCCCATGGGTGAAATAGTGACATGAATGTCATGGTGGTAACCAGCTACTTCTTGATTGGATTAATGGCTCTTTCCACAGGAAGAAACACATGCATAACACTGACCCAAATTCCTCCCATGATTGAGGAGTTTATAGCCCCTAAGGTGAACCTACTCCCATTATTTTGCTAAATGAACATAATATCCAAGTATCCTCTAAATTTGCATCTCTATATTCATAGATTAGTACAGTACTTAGACCTTATAAAGAAGTTTCACTATGCATAATATGGCAATTTGCCAATGTGCAAAGAAGTGGCTGTGGAGTGCTCAGTTACAAAGAACATATCTATATCACACCCTCTCCCCCCAAGGCTCAGGAACCTTATTCAGGAAGGAGGCAACAAGATTCTAGAAGCCAGAGGTCTAGGAGAACCATAGCAAATCAGTGTCCTCTGCATATGACAGGACCACTACACCTATGAATTCACAGCTGCCATTAGTGCCTGCATAAGACCTGCACAAGATCACTCCAACATGGAGAGAGGAGGGGTCATTAGTCCCCATCCCTTAGCTGCTTTATATTATTGTCTTTCATGAGGAAATAGAGTTTTCCAGATAGCTGGTGAGTTACTCATAAGAACTTACAACAATGGTGGCAGCATGCACATGTCCTATGCACAAATTCCACACTTAAATATGTTTATATATTGAATGTATTTGTTACATTAGCCCACTTAGAAAAACTCATTTAAAAAAAGAGCTGTGTGGGAAAAGGTTTTGTAACATGAAGTTTTTCCCTTTTCCCCCTTCTAGAGAGATGACTCAGCAGTTAAGAACACTGCCTATTGTTGTAGAGGACCCAGGCTCTGTTCACAACACCCATGTGGTGGCTCACAACCTTCTGTTTTCCAGTTCCATGGAATCCGCTGCTGCCCTCTTCTGGTATCTATAGTCATCGCATACAAAGGTGCATGCATATACATGCAGAAAAAAACACTCATACACATGAAACTTTTTAAAAATTAAAAACAAATAATAAATAGAAAACCAGTGTTAGACTCTCCTCTATGTCTTGTGACCTGTCTAGCTTCAGGTTCCTAAGCCTGATAACAGTGTCTGGTATGGGCTCTGTCCTATAAAGCAGACCTTAAAACCAATTAAAAGTGGTTGGCTATCCCCATTATATTTGAGACACTATTGCAACAGTGGGCATATCTGCCAGGTCAGTTGTTATTGTAATTCACAGGATTCACAACTGGATAGGGATGATGATGATTTTCCCCCCTGTGGTAGCTTACATAGCACCTTCCATCACTGTGAAGTAGAGATGAAGCTCTGAAGTCAGTACCAGCTTGATTTCTCCTTGTTTGTTCTTCAGATTATGTATGTAGTGTCTTTAGCAATATGGTCTTATCCTGTTCTGGTGGGTAACCAAGAACAGGAGTAATGGCCAGTACTGTTTGAGAGTCTATGGAACCCTTGGTCAGCCATTTCTGGAAAGGAAGAGTTAATTAACATCAAAGGCCCTTAGACAAAGCTGAAACCAAAACAAAATAAAACGGAAAACCCTAAATGGGAGGAATGGACTCTGATGGTTTGGATGAGTTACTTTTCTGTTGCTGTGCTAGAAACTCTGGCCAAAGCAACTATATAAGGAAGAGTTTATTTAAGCTTACAGTTCTAAGGGGCAAGAATCTGTCATAGTGTGGAGGCATGGTGGCAGAGTGGCTGGAGGAGAAGAGGAAGCTAAGTTCTCACATCTTCAAGGAGGCACAGGAAACAGAGAGCAACTCGAGATCCAGGAAGGCTTAAGAACTCTCTAAGCTTGCCTTCAGTGATGTGCTTCCTCCAGCATAGCCACTCCTTCTAAGACCTCCCAAAACAGGGCCGCCAACTGGGGACAAAATGTCCAAATATTTGGAGCCTATGGGGGACATTCTCATTCAAACCATCACAGAGTCCATTTCTGGCGTTGGCGTTTTTTTCCCCATTAACCTGTGATGTCTAGAAAGGGCTATATCCCCTGTTACAGGGTAACTCCTTTTAATCTCTTTTTATGATATATATGTATTTACTTTAAGAAGTTTCTATAGTGGTAGGTTTCCATATGGCTTTTTCTAAGGGCCCTTGATGTTATTTCTCCCTTTTCTCCTTCCTCTACTCTACCTTCCCATTCCCCACCCATTCAACTCTTCATAATCTAATGTTCCTGTATCTCTGACTCTTAATGACTTATTATACCCACGTGTTAATGCATCTCCCTACTCTCACCAGAGAAGTTTCCTTATGCAAGAGATGGTGACTATCACATGAACCCACACTGGCCAACAGGCAGAGCACAAGAGGCTGTGGAGCACTTATCCCTGAATAGGACACCTATATCAAATTTTTGCCCCCCACCCCAAGGCTCAGGGATCAGAGTGGAAGAGTGGGAAGAAAGATAGTAAGAGCCCAGAGCCCATCATACTGAATGATCTTAAGGACACAATTTTCCAGACACCTGGACAGTTACTCATATGAACTCACAGCAAGGGTGACAGTATGTACAAGTCCTATACAAGCTCAAACCAGAAAACTTTCTAGCATAGACATGAGGAAGTAGGTAAAAGGCTCCAACACCACCTAAAAGAAATGATGGCAACAGATGGCTACTGGGAGAAGCAGAGATAGTCTTTTTAATGCATGAGACTCTTGTGGAATGGATGGGCCCACAGTAAAGGACATTTGGATACATGAATTAGATTC